TGAAAAAATGGAATGGAGTAGTCTAGTTTACATGAGGAATGTCTCTCTGATCTACACATGCATATCCCTTCTTTATATATCCACATGACTATTTCAAGCCTATATCAAAATCGAGCTCTTTGATCTACACATGCATATCCCTTCTTTATATATCCACATGACTATTTCAAGCCTATATCAAAATCGAACTCTTGATATCCTGTGAATATCACCCTAACATGATTATTTCACTGTTTTCTGTTTGTTGGCTTTACGTCAGTATGTGACATCTTTATCTTCCAGTTGCTTTGGTCAAAATCTTTGCACTCAATGTCTAATCACCCAGCACTTGGGGTGCCACATTGTTTAACATGGAGCTAAACCATTTGTAGATGACATGCTTCTGGGTTGTGGGTTCATAGGAAGCAAAGACGCTCCTTTCATCTATTGAAAGTCAGATTGTGGCACAAAGGTTTGAAAACATTAGGGATAGAGTTACAGTTGTCTACCTTCCAGGAGAATCTGTAATTCTGCTGTTTATCATCACCTCCATGGCTACGGTCTGGTGCAAACCGCTGTTATCATATGATTGTATTATTACAATTGCCTCCAAACTGGTTCTGCAGCTTCTACTGTCCTTTTGCCTTTAGTCTGTTTTCAACACAACAGTCAGTAGGATCCATTAAAAATACAAATTGTATCATGTTGCAACTCTTTCATAACTGTTTGCTTTCCACCTGAGAGTAAAACTCAAGTCTGAGGGTGAAAGGAAATGCTTCAAATCTGAAGTCATCTGCTTGTACTGACTCTTCTTCTCAGCTTTGTAAAAGAATAGTTTTAATTTTTTCTTTGGCAGTTTCATGCATGCATGCAATGTCTTGATCATACCGAACCCAAATCCTTCTCACACTTCTCTTGCCTGTTTGGCTTCCTTGATGTTCCTTGAGCACTTCAGGCATGTTTCTCAGGTTCTTGCTCTTGGTGATTGGGATGGTCTCTAGTGTCCTGGCTCACTCCTTCACTTCTTCCAGGCATTTCCATGGTCACCCTATCGAAACTGCAGACTTTCATACTGCCTATCCTACTTTTTTCTACAATTATCAATATCTAATGTATTTATTTTTGTTGTCTACAGTTTAATTCTTTCACTGTAATACAAGCTCCAAAAGGACAGAGATTTGTGCCTGTCTTGTCCCCTACTGGCACTTAATACATATTATTTGAATACATGTATAAATATTAAAATAAATGAGAATAATTTTATTCCCACAAAATTTTCTTTCTATGTCAGTGAGAATGACCACTGGAAGCTGGATCATCAGCTGATAATATCTAATATATTCAGAAATGTGAGTAACTTTTGGTAGTTTCTTGATACAACACCTACAGGGATGATCATTACATTTCTTTCACTTTTTTAAAATAAAATTTACTTATTTTATGTGTTTTTCACATCATGTATCTTGATCCCATTCATCCCCTATCCCTTTTCATCTGCTCTCTGCCCCTGCATTCCTCCCCAAATAAGACAAAATTCAAGAGAAAAAAATGAAGAAAATAATATGAAAAAAAATTTTAAAAAAGGGAAGGAATTAAAAATCTCATCATGAAAGCTGCAGTGCAATCCAACAAGTCATACCATATACCCCTTGGATTGCACATCTCTCCTTGCAAGTATCTATTGCCAAGAGTCATTGGTCTCGTTCAAGGCCCCTGGTCTCCACTGCACACTTGATGCTGGGCTCTAACTAGGACTCTTTCTGAGTATCTTGCTGGTGCCCTGCCTTATGGAGATTCTGAAGCTTTGGGTCTGCAGGTCAGGTCCCTTCACACGCTCCAGCAGATCATAGATGGGTAAGTGTTGTGGCAGGCTGTAGGATTGGTCCACCACATGGGAAATAGGGCCAGCTGCCCCATGCTCACGATTTGGGGGCTGGCTCACCCACATCTCCTCTAACAGGGTTGGCTCTGTTGTGCAGGCCTGGTGGGGTGCAGGGTGTTTCGGCTGGTGGACATCAGGGATAGTTCTCCCACTCTTATGACCACAGAGTCAGCTGTCCCCCCTGTCCCAGGCATTGGTGGGCAGAAGACGGGGTGGAGGGGAAGGGTTTCTTTCCCTTGCCCATGCCACCACAAGGCAGATGAGAAATGGGGCAGCTCTCACATGCTCATATCTTTGGGGCTGGCTCACCCACATCTGAACTAACAGGGCTGGCTTTATTGTGCCACTCTGGTGAGGCACAGGGCCTGCTCTCCTGCATGTTGCAGCTGGGGGCCAGGGACAGCTCTCCTGTTCTTTATACCCCAAAGCCAGCTCTTCCACCTGTCCCAGGGGTTGATGGGTGTGTGGGGGGGTGGGGGTGGGGCAAGGTATCTCTCCCCCATCCATACCACAACGGGACAGGTAGGTAATGGGGACAGCTCTCCCATGCTAACAATTTTGGGGCTGGCTCACACATTCCTTCAGGGTTGTCTCTATTGTGCTGCCCTGGCAAGGTGCAGGGCCTGCTCTCCTGAATGTTGTGGTTGGTAGGGGGGTCAGAGATGGATCTCCCTCACTTATGACCACAGGGCCAGCTCTCCCACTTGCCTCAGGCATTGATGGGGAGGGCAAATCTCCTCTGCCCATGCCGCCACAAGGCAGATGGGTAATAAGGACAGCTGTCCATTCTCACAATTTCAGGGCTGGCTCACCCACACCTCCGCTAACATGGTTGGGTCTATTGTGCGGGGCCTGCCCTCCTGAATGTTGCAGCTGGTGGGGGTCAGGGACAGCTCTCCTGCTTTTATGATCACAGGTAAGCTCTCCCATGTGCCCCAGGCATTGATGGGAGAGGTGATGCATGCAGTTTGAGACAGGCTTTCTCTGTGCTACAGTCCTGGCTGCCCTGAAACTCCTTTTGTAGACTAGTTCTGGAACTCACAGAGATCTGCCTCCCAAGAACTAGGATTAAAGGCATTTGCCACCACTGCCTGGCTCCTCTCACTTTTTAACAAGAATTTATTGGGGCTTGGGAAATAGTTTGGCTGATAAAGTACTTCTGCGTGTGCTCAGTCCTTAATACTGCATAAGTGGCATGGTGGTATGTGTCTGTAACTCTCGCTCTCAGGAGGTGTGTGTAGAGGTCCAGAAGTTCAAGATTATCCTGGGCTTTACAGTAAGTTTGAGGCAAGGATGAGATATGTGAGACTCTTTATAAAAACAAAAAATCCCAGTCAAATTAATTTAAAAAGAATTTATCCAATATCTATATCGGAAGATCTAGACATACATCTGTCTACTGAGTGATGGGCATGTGGAAGCAGGGTATGAACATTCAAGAAACTTTTCATGCTGTATGGAAAGTTTTTTTTTCTTCCTGTATACATGAACTAGTTGGAGGAATGCAAGACCATGAAGAACTAAAGTGACCATAAGTCAAGTTCTAACAGTAGTACTCAGAGAATTCTAAAATGGAAATTATTTAGGCACAGCCATTGCTTAGCATGATCTATTTACAATACGTTGCTGCAATTTTGTTTGTTCAGATATCACATCTTGGAGAATTTCCATCCATTTCTTACAATAATTTATCCGGCTTGACCAATGTCACCATAGTGTTTTTGCCCAAATGCTAACGGTTTGCCTCCCTGGCTCCTCTTTGTAGGAATCACTCAGGTGAAAAATGGGCATTCTGCAGATGTAGAGAGCCATATGAACGTCCCCCAAGAGGGAGGAGAGCTGGGAAGGGAGCTGAGCCTTTGAAGTCAGATCAGAAGCATGAGGCAGAGAGCAAGCAGGATGTGCCTTCTGCTACTTCTCCCAGGGTTGGCTTCTGTCACACGACTTGCAATGAAGCAAAGTTTTAATGGTCTGGATGACTGGCCTTAGTTACAGATAAAAGATTTGACAGTGGGTTTTAGCAGTGAGTGGCCTGGATGTATTTTGAGCTTCAGTAAGCTGAACTAACTGACACAACTTTCAACTATAAATAAGACTTACTCTGTTTGAAAATGATGGGATCAAGGCTGAGGATGCAAGGACTGTGGTGGGTAGCCAGTTATTTCTGAGTATTTTAATTTTTATTTCTCGTCATGTGAATGAAATGATTATAGAAGTGATTGAATAAGCTAGTTAAGATAGAATATTGGCATGGTATTATTAATCACTGTTTTGCATATAGTGATGGTTTTAAAAATGCAAAATTACTCCTGTGTCAATAGACTATTGTACCTTTTGTATCAGAACAAAAGGTGTGTGTGTGTGTGTGTGTGTGTGTGTGTGTATGTGTGCATGTTGTCATGTGTGACACATATTTACATGTCCAAGTGGAGGCCAGAGACTGATGTTTAGTGTCTTTCTTGATCACTGTCCACCTTATATTGAGGCAGAGATCTCAAGATCTCTGGAATACAGAGATCACCAATTCATGTAGTTTAAGTGTCCAGTTTGCTCTGAGGATCCCCTATCTCCAATTCTCCAGTGGTAGGATTGCAGGAAGGGCCACACCTGCTTGACATTTATGCCATTGCAGGGATTTGAACTCTGGTCCTCACACTTGCATGGCAAGTACTCTACCTACTGAGGCATCTTGCCTCCTCAAATGAAGGAGAGATAGCTTTCTATCTCTGGGGATAAAGGAATTGGAACTAAAATTTGAGGATAATGGTTATCTGCTCTGCTGACAAACTCTTGGGGCCTTATTGACTTGGGTCTCCACTGAAGGCAGGTTCCTTCCAATCCTAATGCAGAAAGACCACATTATGTGCTGCATCATGGCAGTCTCATCAACCGTGGACTACAAGTGTGATGGAGGTCTCACAGTATAATGAAACTAAAAAGTTCATAGAGACATTGTAACTCAAAGAATTACTCATGTGTTTGTGGGGATGGTGATATAAACACATCTGGTGTACTGCTAGTCATATAGAAGTACAGCATAATTCCATAGATATGCAATACTTGATAATGAAAATTAATGACTATGCTACCACTTTATGTATTTACCATGCTTTATGTTTTACTGTTAATTTAAAGTGTACTACTGTGTGTAAACTGAAACCTCACAGGAAGGTAATATGCACATTCTGCCAGCAACAGCCTTACACATCTTCATTTGCCACATTTCCTGATTGCATCAGGAGGCTCTGGGGAGTGACCATGCAGGTTTGGGTGAGTGTGCTCTGGGAGGTGCATGCCGGGTGAAACTGCCGAGTGACTCATTTCTCAGAAAATATCTCTGTTGTTAAGCAATGCATGACTGTACTGTCCCTAGTGGTGGGAAGTTTCAAAGGGGGAAGACAAATAGGTAGTCTCAAGATTTATAGTTAGAAGAAATCTGGCTTCCTAACCACTCTGTAGTACATTTAAGGAATCTACAAGAAACTGGGGGAAGAGCTGACTTTCTCAAGTTAGACCCAGGGTCTTGTATGTAGGTAAATAGTAACATTCCTTTATGGCCACTGAGTTTTGTTAATCTATTATTGTTATTGTTATAACTGTTCTTAAAAGTCATCCTCAACCTTTGAAACTGAGACTAGATTTCAGTGCCTCAACAGAAAAGACTGTGTAACATATATTTGACTTTTTGTCAATATGCAACTCATGCTGGCCTCACACTTGGGCTCTGCCTGTCTTTACTTCCTGAGTGCTGGTATTACAGGCAATCACTATGACTTAGTTATTCTTCTTCTCATGTTTTTAAAATAGTCTTCCACTTTATTATTTATTTAAACTTTACTATTCATTTATTATATATGTAATATATATTATATATACACACACACATATATATAATATGGAGGCCACAAGGGTGGATGTGTGGAGGTAAGAGGACAATTTTCAAGAGTCACTTTTGTTCTCCCACCTTCTGGGTCCCAGGGATCAAACTCAGGTCATCAAGTTGTCTTTACCTGCTGAACCATCCCATTGCCTCCTTGTATTTTTCTTTGTCAGACAGAGTCTTGCTATGGTGCCCAGGGTGGCCTTCAACTCCTGATCCTCCAGTCTCAATCTCCAAAGAAAAACATCTTTGCATTTGAGTCACATGTGCAGATCCCTCAGCAGTATATGAGGAAAATCAAGAAGATGGAAATGTGGATATCACCCAGCAAGATGAGAGCATTTCCGCTTTTGCTATCATAACATTTATCAGAGGATTTACCAATCCAGTTTCCTTAGATTACTAAATACTGAAAGCATCTGCTTCGAAAGATATGCTCACAAATGAAGATCATCTCAAAAAGGAAAAGCAGCTACCCCTCGGTCGTCGGACAGGTATTCTTTTGTGCCGTTATGTGGGAGTTGAAGGAAACCGTGTTTGGTCATTGGAGAATGACATGTTATTGTAAGACCCAGAGCCATGTCTGTAGTTGCAGCGTGTGTTCACATGAGTCAGATTTTACACTATATTCAGCAAACATTCTTTGTGCAAATCCTGTGAGAATGAGAAATTGAATGGTAACACATACTTTGTAAAGAAGGATCAAGCATCACAGTTAATTGAAGTATTTGTAGGTATAGGCATTAATAAGATGTGTGTGTGTGTGTGTGTGTGTGTGTGTGTGTGTGTGTGTGATATAAGGTTTTAGCAAATTTTTAAACTGAAGCAGGAAAGAGGGGAGACATTGCAGAGCACCCAGCACGTAATGAATACAAAGTCCTTCACATGTGAGGAGCAGCTTGGATGCTGCTTTTTGGAGCACCACTTCAAGATTCTGGAAAGTTCCCGAGGTACTGTGTGCCTCACACATGCTCCTGAGCCCTGCTTTCCCCTGGAGAGCGCCTATGGCTAGCTCTGACTTTCTCACATCAAAAGAGCCCTAAAGTGACTGACTTTGGGGCAAATGGTCCCTGTCCTGACATTGATAGTATTCATCATTCTTGGGTGAAACTGAAAGAAACCTTGTGATCTTTTCCTTACTTCCCTATTCACATTTGTTTGCTTCTTTTCAACACTGGACTCCAGCTTTTGTTTAAAGTCTTCTGTGAAGCGTAGAATTTGGAAAGTCCACTGGTTTCCCAATGAAAACACCGCTCCTGGCACCTTCCATCCAGCCTGGGTCAGCCCTGGGGCCACTGTTTTGGACCCACACTGTTAGTCCCTATTGCTTTGTCTTTGTTTTTGATGCTGTCATCCTTCAAGGAGTCCCCTTATTTCTCCTCTGTGTTTTCCTGATCACCCTGGCAGCAAAACAACCAGTCATGGCCCAACCCTGAGAAGTAAAGTTGCCAAACTACCAAGAAGTTTCCTCACTTTAGTTTTGATTTAATATTTGGGAATGGCTTCTATGAACTTAGGGGATCCTGTGGGGTTAGGACCAAAGAATTCATAATAGAGGAGTTAGGGTCATTGGTCACAGCCAGATGTCTTCCTCATCTCTCATTCCTAAAACACAAAGGAGAGCCAGCCACTTGGGTTTTCTATATCCAGTGCCTTCCTCAGGCTTCCTGATCCCCCTTATAAACAAGCAGAGATGTGCAAAGGGGAATGATAGTTGCTCAGAGATGAACCCAGAGGTGAGCAGAAGTAAACCAGATGTCACAAGTGACAGATCTGAGAGTATGAGTGACACTGGCTTGCAGTCAAGAGTCAAGTTCAAGTGGTCATTCTTCCTTCTCCTTATGTGATGACTTTCAGAAAGACATTCCCATCACAGTGCTTCAGATTCCATAGCCACGGAGGGAAGTGGAGGTTGTGGTCCTCAGATGTGGGTGGGTAGTAAGACAACAGTGCTGGTGACTGGTGGTGGGCACACGTGTCTGTAGGGAGGGGCAGAGCAGATGTTCTGAGAGGTTCAGTTTGGCCAATTAGTCAAAATAGAGGATTGGCAGAAGCACAAAAGCAATTAAGTCTTCCAAAGATTAATATACAACTCTTTTAAAGTGGTGGTGGTCAGCCCTGCTCCACCCAGTCTTCTACCCTCTTCCCACATGTTTGATTAATCCATTCTTCCTGTCATAGGACCTTACAAGTTTGGGCTAATAGGTAGACAGAGGCATTTAGTCTTTGTGAAATACATCAGACTTATTCCATTCCTACTCTGAGAAAATGTGCGACACTGAGTAATTTATAAACAACAGACATTTATTTTCCTGCCACTCCAGAGGTTGAGAAGTGTGAGATCAAAGGACTGAGTTCCTTATCTGGGGAGAGCTTATTCTATTGGTGACTCTTTTACTTCATGTCATCTTCATAACGTGGAAGGTGTTAAGAGCAAAAACAAAACAAAACAAAACAACAACAAAATGGCAGAAGGGCAGAAGGCAGCGTGTTCCCTTCAAACCCTGTTATGAGGACACTCATCCAGTTCCCATGGCTTCACAAGTTCCTCAGTTTCCACTTCTCAATGCCATAATATTGATAATGAACTTTAACATGAACTTGGGGTGACACATGAAGGTCATGCCAATATCACACATTGTTTAGCAATTTAAAAACTTCCATGTCCTTTTTTGGTAATATGATCACTGCAGAAAACTTGGAATATTGAGTGTTACAGAGAAAATTAAAAATCTCTATAGATCCCTTGAGATTATTGCAGTTAGCACCCACTACCCTTTCTAGATGCTTCTTCTCACTCTAAATTGTGCTATGTGTGTTCTACAAAAGCATATAGTTCCAACATATCAGACATGTAAACATAATTTTACAAAGTTAAGAAAATACATTTATATTATCTTCCAATATGCTGTGACTTTTTGTCTGCAGTGACAGCCTCAAAAATCCCTTTCTGTGACTATGAAAAGAGAGTTTGACATATAAAAATAAGTGGGATGCCTACAAAATATCAAGCAATGAATAACAAGCAAAGAATTCTTTCCATTCCACGAGAGAAATCATCTGTTTTGACAGATGGCAAAGTTCAGGACAAGCAAATACAGGGAAGTATGCTGTAACACAAGAAAAGTGCCCATACAGTGCTGTGGAGTAAAAATATTTGATTAAGTCAGTCACTAACAGAATTATATTTTTACATCGTCACAAACATATAAATGGAATTAGAATGAAATAAACACAGTAAAGTGTTTGAACTGCTCCATCATGGTGCTATTCCACCCTTCAATGGACCCCAAAGGTCTGAATAGGCACAGATTTCAGGCAAGACCTTTACATTTTTGCTCAGTGTTTGGAACCTACAAAGTGCACCATGAGCTGATCCTTCCTAGTATCCTCAGCCTGGGCTTTTCTGCCCTGTAACATCATGTCCCAAGCAGCATGTATTTAGGTAGCTTGGCAAGATGTATTATTTGAAACTGCCACAGACACATGTTTTATTATCCCAGACAGGCCCAGACATTGTGTTAGTTGGCTGGCTGTCACTTTGGAGATGTTTATTATGACTATTTTATTTTGCAGAGTTTTGTATCATTTCAGTGATAATCTCTCTGTTCTGTCTATCACACATACAGTGAAGTAGATTTGATGACTTTGACATAGCAGACAGAGTGTAAGAACACAATAGAAAAAATATCCAAATCTAATTAGAAGATTTTCCTTTAGTGAGCCTGAAGAAGTCATGTATATTTTTTGAACGTTGTTTTTTTTTTTTTTTGGTTTTTTGGTTTTTCAAGACAGGGTTTCTCTGTGTAGCTTTGCACCTTTCCTGGAACTCACTTGGTAGTCCAGGCTGGCCTCGAACTCACAGAGATCCGCCTGCCTCTGCCTCCCAAGTGCTGGGATTAAAGGCGTGGGCCACCACGGCCCGGCAAACATATTTTTTAAAGCTATGATTGTGTTGATTCCTAGCCCACTATATGTTGTAGGAATAAACTGTGATAATGGAGATTAACTGATTATCATTTTACACATTTCATAAATGTTGTTAAAATTCAAATGAAGATGATATTTTTCAGTCAAGAAATGCTGGTGCCAATATCCTATCCAAGCATTTGGATAAAAGTATTTGCAAAATTACCTTAAATTCTTATTTAAATCTTAAATAATAACACAGAGGCAAGTAATATGCTCTTTCTGTTCATTCCTAAAGCTAGTCAATGGTCTGCACTGCAGGCTTCAGAGAACTTGCTTAAGAGACTAAATTCATTCTCTATTGCTACAAAATAGATGTCAAGCTCCATGGTTTTAACAACACCAACTATATTAGCTCATATTTCTGTAGGCCAGTACTCTATGTTCTGCCTGGCCAGAAACACTGCTCATTGTCCTGGGCTTGATTTTGATTTTAATCTGAGTCTTGACGTCCTCTTCCTGGGTCACTGATGACTAAGAATTGATTTCCTCAGCTACAAGATTAAAGACCTCATTTTAAAACTGGTTTAACATTTTTGATAGTTTCTTACTTGTATATAATGTATTGTGATCATATTCACTCATTACCTTCTCTTATGACCCTCCCATTCCTGTTGACTCCTTCCTCCCTCCCTACTAGCAGCCACCCCATCCCTGTTTTCACATCTTGTGCATATGGTCATAGTTAGTGTGTGTTCATGATCACAATGGCTATACCATATTTTGAGGCCATCATTTTATGGTATTCTTCCCCAGTCTCTGGCTCTACAGCTTTCCTTACCCTTCCCATGATGTCCCCTGGGCCTTGGAGCTGGTGGAATAGATGTCATATTTAGGGCTGAAAACTCAACAGTCCCTTATTCTCAGCACCCTTCGTTACACTGTGAGTCTCTGCTTTGATGGCTGCCCACTGCCAAGTGAGATGAAGCCTTCATATCTACTTCATGTCAGGGAATTGTACTCAGTATTTAGAAACCACCAGTTCCTTGCCACATGACCTTTATAGACACTATCAGACATTTGATTTACTCCAGGCTAGACTGAGAAGGACTTTCTGGCTTTCTATTTTCAGCTATCAGAAAACAAACAAACAAACAAACAAACAAACAAACAAACAAAATGCCTCTGCCTTTCAGTTGTAATGACTAGGGTCACTTGACCCTAGCTTAAAACACTCTCACTGGGCAACCTATGTTATAGCTCATCCATGACTGATGATGGGGAATTGCGATGGCATCCTTGTTGAGAACTGGTGTTTTTAGGGTGGTATGGCCATAAGTGGCATCCTTGAATCCATCTGGAGTGGGGAGGGGTTGGCAGAAAGTGAAGTGGGATGCTGAGAGTTCAGAGGTGGGAGATTTGGGTGTCTACTGAAAAAGTCAACTTCACAGTGATCTTTTTGAAAAGTTAATGATTTCTATTCCTACAAATGTGGCCCCATGGTGGTTTGAAGAGTTTGGGATATTGCAGGTTTAACTGCTAAGTCTAGACTTGAGAAACATGAGCACACATGAACTATAGTTAATGAATGCCTCGTTTGTAGCAATGAAAGCACCCACTGCTGACATCTGTGTTCATTGATGTTTTCTGTCTCTTCTGTGGGGAATTTTCTATTCAAATCTTTTGATGAATGTACTCTTTGATAAATGTGTATGATGGATTCTGGTCACATTCATCCTTCCATCCTTTATGATTTTCCACTTCATCTACTCTCCTCCTCTTCCTCCCAAGTTCCCACCTCTGATATGATTACTCTTTTTTTCTATTGCTGAATTTTAAAAGGTCTTTACATTTTTGGAGTTTTGGAATTTTACAAATTCCTTCTCGGATCTGTGACTTGTAAATATTTTTCTCTCACTAGGTGGTTGTTTTTCAGGTTATGATGGCAAAAACACTTTTAGTTTTGATTAATTCCAATTTATTTTTCTCTTTAGACATTTATAATCTGGTATTATCGCCAAGAATGCTTTGTTCTATCCAGATTATGAAGATACACTCTTCTGGTTTCTTTTTATGAACTTTATAGCTGGAGTTCTCACGTTTAGAGCCGTGACTCATTTTGAGTTTTTGGAACCAACTTATCACCATTCTTGAAACTCACTGAGTTTTTGTGAAAATCAAAATATTAATATATTTAAAGCATTTTGGATAGTACAGGAGGAGGCATAGCAGTCACAAGTACAAACTTGTGGTTATTATTCTTTATCATTTATTACAGTCTGCTTGTTTTTCTCTCCCAAGAGACTATCTCAGTCATTATACCAACACGCCTGGTCTATTGTCTGACAGACGTGTGATGGATTGATTTTGTTGAATGGATGGATAATAAGCAGGCCTTTTCTGATGAAACAGTCAGCGGGCAAAGCTTTGGGCAGATGCTATTCACAACACTGATTATTCTATTGTGGTTGACTGGGTTTGGAAGCTGTCTTAGTTAGGGTTTCTATTGTTGCAATGAAACACGGAGACCAAAAGGCAAACGGGGAGGAAAGAGTTTATTTGGCTTAAACTTCCAAACTGCTGTTCATTATCTAAGGAAGTCAGGACAGGAACTCAAACAGGGCAGGAACCTGGAGGCAGGAGCTGATGCAGAGACTATGGAGGCGTGCTGCTTACTGGTTTGCTCTCCATGGCTGTCTCAGCCTGCTTTCTTGTAGAACCCAGGACCACCAGCCCAAGGATGGCACCACCCATCAATCTAATTAAGAGAATAGAATGCCTTATGGTCAGATCTTACGGTAGAATTTTTTTAACTGAAGTTCCCTCTTTTCAGATAACTCTACTTTGTATGTTAAGTTGACATAGATTAGCCAGCATAGAAGCTGAGAGCAGCTCAAACCTTAGAACATGTTAGTCACATGTTCTTTGGAGATATCATCCCAGAGAGCATGACCTAGAACCTCTGGGTGCAGATCACTTTGGGGATCTAGCATAGAACCTTTTAGGCATGTTTTTCATTCTGGGCTGACACCCCCACCTTTCTGTTTCCTCTATCTTTTGGAGGAACCTCTTTAATACTAGTTTCAGTCCTCTATAATACTAGTTGGATTCTTGAGCTTTCAACCTCTAAAAGCTGAAGGTGTAATGCTTACTCCAGCCCCCTTTACAGTCTCGACCAAGATTTTCCCTCAGATGATCTCATCCAGTTTAATAGCTTTAAATACCATGTAAGTGTTGAGACTCCAAACCTGTTACTCCAGCCTTTGCTACTCACTGAGGTCCAGACTTACATTTCAATTGTCTAGCTCATGTCTCAACTTAGATATCTAACAGGCATCTCAAGTGCTGCAGGACCAAAACAGATTTCCACCCACAGACATCTTCTTCTATTCCTTCTCATCTCAGCAATGGACTCCATGAAAGTCTCTCCAATGACAAAGTTGAAACTTTAGAATTGGTGCTAAATTTTTCTCCTTTTCTTACCCCTATTGATCAGACAACTTATATCAGGTTTACATTCATAATTCACCAGCATCTTATTGCTTTCCTTCTCTCAGGTTTCTACCTGAGGAGAAGCTCTGATCTGCATGTACAGTCCAGGGTAGTACCCTCTAACTGTTTTCTTCCACCCTAGATCTGCCTAAGATCTGTTATTCATACAGTTGTCTGGGGGACGAACTTAAGAAGATAAACTTGATTGCATTATTCCTTATTTTAAACCCTCAAATGAATTTCAATTATACTAGAATAATATCCAAATTCCTTCCAGGACTAACAAATTTTTTGATGCTGCTTTTTAGTTACATGCTGCTGAAATTGATATTTCTATGGGGAGCAAAACCTCAACAACATGAGAATTCCTCTGTTTAGTCTTCCATATTTTCAAAGTAGGTACAACAAACAAACAAACAAACAAAAAACAAAAACAAAACAAAATGAAACAAAACACCCTGTTCCAATGCTTTTGAAGTCTTTTGATAAAAAAGTGGAATGTTGAGATGGTTAGGGAGAGAGGATTTTGTGGAGAGTAAATATTTGATGAAACTCTGTTGATTCTCCTCTTGTGGTTTGTGGAGAAAGACAAAGAAGTCTTTCTTTTCACCTCAAAAACTTGTGGGGATCAGGAGTGTCCATCATGAAATCAACAAAACACGCTGTGTTATGTCTTCAGTTGGGAGTCATAACAGATTTGGGGTCTTGATTCCATCAGAAGGATGTAGAAAAGGGGTGCTGGTTAGTTTTTGTCAAAAAACATGCTGACAAAACTTATATCATCAGGGAAGAGGGAACCTCAACTAAGAAAACAAGCCCAGAAGATTGGCCTGCGGGCAAGTCTGCCATGCGATTTCTTGATTAACGGTTGTGGTCCAGAGTTGTACAAGAAAGCAGACCGACCAAGCCATGAAGAGCAAGCCAGTGAGCAGCCCTCCTCCATCTTCAGTCTTGAGTTTGCCCTCACTTCCCTCAGTGATGGAGTATAACCTGTAAGCCAAATAAAACCATTTTCTCCCCAAGTTGCTTTTGGTCATGGTTATCACAGCAATAAGAACATATACTAAGGCACAGGCAATACACAGTCTGATTGCATTTTCTGGATTAATGATTGATGTGGGCAGGCCCCTCCCATGTAGCCAAGGATACCCAATGGGGTCATGATAGGTTCCTCAATAAATTATGCCAGGGAAACTGGATATCCAAGTGTAGAAAGGTCCAGTAGGGAATCTTCAGATCTCAGAAAGAAACCCAGGAAGGAGAAGGCTATATTAATTGTTTTCCAGGCCTGGTAAGCACAGAGTCAGATTCTTGTACCGGTCCCAGTAGCTTCCTCTCAACTTCAGCATCAGCCTGTCTCAGAAGGGTTGAAGCTGCCACTATATTGCTATCTAGGATTCCTATATTGGGATGGTTTAAGGCTGCTTTACTACTTGAGGTGATCTTCTGATAATCCATGTGATCAGAATGAAAAGAAAAGCTATGCATTCTGCCTTGGCTTGTTTTCTTTCTTAGAATCAAGTTTAAAGTAATGGTGAGGGAGGATGAATACAGTTACAGCTAGATAATATTACAAGAATGAATGTTCGTGCAGTGCAAGCTCTGCTCCCCTGGGCCTCCCTGGGCCTCTCAGCTCACATATATTGTCTTGACAAACTTTCCCTTAACTTTCTCCCTATCTCCTGTAAGTACAAAGGAGCAACGTTCACTCTTTAGCAAATTCCAGGAATCTTCTTTTATTTTCTTCAAAGAACTAGTAAGTATTTGAAAACACCTTGTTCATGCCCTTACTTTTATAGGACTTCTGTGGCAGCAAATAAAAGTGCTTACATGTTGTAGAATATTATTTTAAGGTGTGTTACTTTTGTTTATGTTGCGTTTGTTTAACTCTATGAAGCTGTGTTACTGTGCCTGTCTAAAACACCTGATGTTCTAATAAAGAACTGGCAGGAGAAAGGATAGGCAGCGCTGACAGGCAGAGAGAATATATAGAGGGAGAAATCTGGGAGAGAAGAAAGAAGTAGCCAGAGAAGGGGGAGGACATCAGGGGCCAGTCACCCAGCTACACAGCAAGCCACGGAGTAAGAGTAAGATTTATAGAAGTAAGAGAATGGGAAAAGCCCAGAGGCAAAAGGTAGACAGGATAAGTTAAGAAAAGCTGACAAGAAACAAGCCAAGATAAGGCTGGGAATTCACAATTAAGAAGTCTTCATATGTGATTTATTTGGGTGGCAGGCCTCCCAAAATAGCAGAAACAAACAACAACACTTATGCATATGTGCTGTGTGCTAGGGATACACCTTAGTACTAGAGTGCATATGAGTCCCCTGAATCACAACAAACAAACGTCCATACATTTTATTTAGTAGATAAACAAATACATGAAAAACAATGTAAGATCTGTGATAGTGATAAGACTGCAGGTCCAGATGATTTCAGAAGAACTGCTCTTTTTTATTGTGGATTACTGATTTTCACACAGTGGTAGTAGGGTCTCTGGATCCAAGTTGTTGTTAGCAACTGGAAAACACAGTAAAAACTATGTCTGTAATGAACATGTCAAGACTTTTTTTTCCCCTTATCATTATTACCTAAAACCATCCCTGGGAGGCCTGCTCTTTTCTGAAGGGAAATGGAGAAGGGATGGATCTGGGGAAGAGGGGTGGTAGTGGGAGACTGGGAGGATTTGAGGGAGGGAAAACTGTGACTGGGATATAATATATGAGAAGAGTAAGTTAAAAAAAGGAAAAAAATCCAGCACTTTACTTAAATAGTATTTATATTGAACTAGGCATTATAAACAATCTAGAGATGTGCATACAGATGTGCACAAGTGATATGCCACTTCTATTCTATTGTGTCAAGGGACTGGGGCATTTTGAAGATTTTGGTACTCATGGGAGGTCAAGGAATCATCCCACATGAATATCACAGGAATGTCTTGATCACCTTATGCAGTGGGGATAACAGTTTTCATATTTTTAGTTGGACTGATTTTCTCACATGACTCTTTCATGATAAAATCATATTCTAACAGAATATGTGAATGCTTAAAAACAGCCATAGACAAATCAGAACACATTGGAAGTATTAAACAGAAAATCTCTTAATATAGTTTAACTTGAATATGTTTTCACTCTGAAAATATTTTTGGAACAAGATGGCAGACTAAGGGTCATAATCCAAGTCGTCCCACAAAACAATAATAACTTCCTCCTGAAAACAATTGTTCTTGGAGAGTTCCAGAATATAATAAGCTCAGCTATGAAGCAGAGTACAAAAGCTAGGATGGCTACACAGAAAAAGATAGGGAGCATTGAATGTGTTTGATCCTTGCCAGCAATCATCACAGCTCAATGCAGAAGAGAAAAATTCAGCTGCAGAGGCCCCATCAGTGGAAAGTAGAGCAGGAGGCCCCTGGTGCCCTCCACTGAGCAGCCCTTCCCTATCAGAGACACCAGAAGCTCCTTCCACTCAGGTAAACTGCAGTTTTCATCAACTCCAATCTCAGCTGGTGGAGCTGCCCAGAGTTCTTCAGTCCCTCTGCCCTAGGGCCAGGGCCATTACATCACCCGGAGCTGGAGCCACCATTGTCCTCCCTATAACTAGAGGGCGATGTCGCATCTAGACTGTGACTTCATACTTACACACACTTTAAAACTTCTGCTTTTGTTTTTGACACAGGGTCTCATGTAGCTCAAGCTGACTTTGCACTCACTGTGTAGCTGTGGAGAACTGTGGACTCCTGATTCTCCAGTCTCTTCCTCCCAAGTGCTAGGATTACAGGAATTAGCCATCATGCCTGGCTTGTTTCTCAATGTTTATTTATTTATTTATTTTTGGTGTGTGTGTGTGTGTGTGTGTGTGTGTGTGTGTGTGTGTGTGTGTGTGTTTCCTTTGAAAACTAAGTTTGTAGAATCTGGGAAAGATAATTGCTTCTTTGAGTATGCAGAAATCACACCCAAGATTATATGAACATTAAAAAAAAATCAAGGAAACATAACACTAAAGGAACACAAAAAATTTCCAGTAACCATCCCAAAAGAATGCATACAATACGGTACTGGAATAAAACAAGACATATAGACAATGAGACACAGCAGAGAGCTCAGATACAAGTTTATACACATATGGTCAACTGAATTTTTACTAGAGTGCCAAGAATATGCAGTGAGGAAAATAGGGTTTCCCCAATAAATGATGCCAGGGACAGTGGGGAAACAGGATATCCACAGGCAGAAGAGTGAAGCCAGGCCCCTACATTACACAGCTCACATACAAAAATGACTTAACATAGGTTAAACACTCAAGCTTAAGATCTTAAATCATAAAACTGTAAGAAGTGTGCCGGGCGGTGGTGGCGCATGCCTTTAATCCCAGCACTCGGGAGGCAGATCCAGGTGGATCTCTGTGAGTTCAAGGCCAGCCTGGGCTACCAAGTGAGTTCTAGGAAAGGTGCAAAGCTACACAGAGAAACCCTGTCTCGAAAAACAAAAACAAAAAAAAAAACCAAAAAAAAAAAAAACTGTAAGAAGTGAAGATAATCAAACACTCCCTGATGTCGATATGGGTGCTGAGCTTTAGAACATCATTAAAATAGAGAAAGAAGGTTCTATCAGACTAAAAAGCCCATGGACAACAAAGGAAATAATCAATCCAGTGGAAAAAATAATTGTTCTTCAGGCATACAAACATCACACACAATGCTATATGGGACCTGGAAGATCAGAGAAACACAAAACAGAAGTAACACAATAAACTTCCAGTAACTAGCCCAAAAGAAGGCAAACAACACAGTGCTGGAATAAAACCAGACGTATAGACCAATGAGACACAGCTGAGATCTCAGACACAGGTTCACACACATGCAGACAACCAAACTTTGACTCAGGTGCCAAGAGTATGCAATGTGGAAACAATGGTTTCTTCACTGAGAAAGAAGAAAATTGTAAGGGAATTATACAGCTCAATGGCAAAATCATCCCCAAACAACCTGATTTAAATGTGAGCAGAGGATCTGAGGAGATGATAGTTTTCAAAAGTGGCGTACAAACACACAAGAAATTTGTGAAAATGTTCTTAGCATCATCTGCTTCAGGGAAATGCAAATCCAAACCACGAAGAGGCATTACCTCACACCTGTTAGTGGTTACCAAAAAGAGATAAATGTTGGGAGGAGGCAGAGAAAACAAGTCCCTGTATGCATTGGTTGGAATGTAAATTGGCACAGTCAGTTTGGTAAATAATGTGGATGTTCAGGAAAAAAGAAAGAGAAAGAAAAAAATAAAAAACCCGAACAGAACACTTTATTATTCAACAGTCCCGTTCCTAGGTTTTTGTTAAATCTCAGTCAATTTTCTGTCACTATAACAAAATACCTTAGACTGGGTAATTTCTAAAGAGAATGGTTTAGAAGCTCAGGATATGGCACTGACATTTGCTTAGCTTCTGGTGAAGGAAGAAAGGTAAGCGGGTGTATGTGGAAGAGAATCCCACATCAAGAGACTAGGGAGACACCAGCAGCACTTTACATTCCCAACCAGTCCACTCCTACAAGATTGAGAACGTGCAAGAGAAAAAGACTTCATCTCTCCTAATGAACTACTCACCTCTGAAAGTCCACAACAGTTTTTAACATGTCTTCATTAGAACCCAGGTTCAGCATGAGTTTTGGTGCAGAACAAACATATCCAAACCAGAGCAGCCAATATCCAAAGGAAGTGAAATCACTGTATCAGAGCCAGCAGCATTTTTATGTCCACCAAAGTCTCAGCTACAGTAGCCAAGACATGGAGACAAAATAAAAAAGTACTAATCAGTAAATGGGTAAAGAAAACATGATACATGACCACGGTAGAATATTATTCAGCCTTAAAAAATGAAATACTAGGGAGCGTCATAGTCAGCTGCACCCAGACAGTAGGAGCAAGATGGTGGTGCAAGTGCTTTAGTCGAGGAGGCCTGCTGTGGCCAGCTGTCCCTGGCAACTTC